CGGCAGTGACTGCTGGTACTGTCTCCCAGTGCCTGGGTAGTGCATTCATACGTGCACTCACGTGCACTCGAAAGGTTAGACACAGTGGGGGTTGAGTGTTAAAGCTACGGCTGGCAGCGGGGTTTGTATCAATGGACGTTCCCTGTGACTCCTCTCTCTGTCTCTCTCTGTCTCTCTCTCTCTCTCTCTCTCTCTCTCTCTCTCTCTCTCTCTCTCTCTCTCTCTCTCTCTCTCTCTCTCTCTCTCTCTCTCTCTCTCTCTCTCTCTCTCTCATACACACACACACACAAGGTATAATGCCTCCTGTTCTAGACAATTACTTATACTTACAATGTCACTAACACTATACTTGGAAGTATGCGTCACTATACTTGAAAGTATACCCCCCCCTTACCATTGCGTTGTATTCATGTATGGTTGTATGGTAACGCTGTATTATTAATACAGGTCACGCTCTTGAGACTATCACCTGTTGTATATACATAATGTATACGTATATGTATACACAGTATACTTTTATATAGAAGTTATAAGACGTTGAGAATGATTTAATGAGAGTGAGTATACATGTTTGTGTATGGGTGTATGTATTAGTGTATGTGTACGTGAATGAGTCAGTGTATGAATGCACTTGTGAGGGTGTGTATTAGTGTATTAGTGTATGTGTACGTGAATGAGCCAGTGTATGAATGCACTTGAGAGGGTGTATGTGAGTGTATGAATGAGCATATGAGTGTACTCATACACCCCTAATAGTGTATCGAACGCCGACCTCATAGTTACTGTAAGTACTTTCATTTTAGGACTATATTTGGCTGGAATATAATATAGGGAATAACTGAAACGTGGGGTACCGATTCCGTAGAGTTTTGTGTGCTCAGGGCTTCGTGTCCTGTTGAGAACAGTCCCATGTAAGGTCTTGACGGCTTCCGGGGTCCTTGATTGGATCGTTAAGTTGTTAAATGGCTTGAAAATGACGTTTATTTAAGGTGTGTTGCAGGTGTGTAGTGTTGAAGTAGGGGGTATTAATGGTGTGTTTCTTGTGTCCACAGAGAAGGCCGCCGCCTCCCCTGACCAAGCCTGTCACAAGCGTGTTCCAGACCAGGTAATGCATATGTGTCCTCTTGTTCATCGCCCACACCTGCCCACACCCACACCTGCACCACCACCACATGTGTTCCACACATACACCTCGACACGTGTTCCACACACCCACACCACCAGACATGTTCCATACCTGCACCACCACACGTGTTCCACACACCCACACCACTACACCTGCCCCACACCTCCACACCTGCTCCTACACCCACACCATCACACCTATGAGATGGTCGTGGAGGAAGAATTAAAAAATTAATATTATTATTATTATTATTATTAATTAATTAATTAATTAATTAGACGTGTAAGGTGGTGGAGGTTAGTGTTAATTGTTCTACTTAACTCACCCTCAAGCGCAAGCTCCTAGTCCAATATTGACCTGCGTGGAGTTGAATAAGTCAGTATTTGACTTACGTGGAGTTGAATAAGTCAGTATTTGACCTATAGACAGTGAGCCCGAGGCACAGTCCTCTGTTTTGAGGGCTGGTTTTCTTCTCTTCTTGCAACCCGTCCTCGACTCAAGTCCATTCCATCCAGTGGTCGACCCCCAAAGACGTGTTCAATTCTAACACGCTGTTCATTCAAAATAGGAATTTTCTCAATATAGATTAATATTTTTATAGCATATTGGGCATATTTAAGCACTGGTTAGGTTAGGTGTTTAGGTTCTGTTGGCGATTATTTGTAGTACATGGGTGAAGCATTTACAGCGTTGTGGTTCGAACACAAGTCGTCAGTGAAGCACTTGTTCCGGAAGTGTTCGAACGACATCAGTTGTGAGTCGTGTGTAAACCGTTTTGCATTCATAAACCAACCCGTTCTCGCACTTTCTTACAGTCAATATTGACTTAATTAAATACGTGCATATGTGACATACTAAACATACTAGTTTACCTTGAAAAGCTTCATAGAAAACACCGACCTTACCTAACCTTCTTAGTATGTTAAGATAAGCATCTTCTTGCTTCGTAATTACAATTATTACTTAACCTATACTTATAGTAGGTCTTATTGCTTCGTAATTACAATTATTACTTAACCTATACTTATAGTAGGTCTTAGGTTTACTTATTACTTAACCTATACTTATAATGGGTCTTATTGCTTCGTAATTACAATTATTACTTAACCTATACCTATAGTAGGTCTTATTGCTTCGTAATTACAATTATTACTTAACCTATACTTATAGTAGGTCTATTGCTTCGTAATTACAATTATTACTTAACCTATACTTATAGTAGGTTAAGTAATAATTGAAATTACGAAGCAATAAGATGCTTATCTTAACATACTAAGAAGGTTAGGTAAGGTCGGTGTTTTCTATGAAGCTTTTCAAGGTAAACTAGTATGTTTAGTATGTCACATATGCACGTATTTGATAAGTCAATATTGACTATATGAAAGTGCGAGAACGGGTTGCATAAACAGCTGGGGGTTTGGCGGGTGGATGGAATGGACTTTGGGTCTTTGTTTATGAGGACGAGCTGCCTCCCGGGGCTCACCTGAAGTTCAGTGGTGGAGCGGAGTGTTTCACCTTCTCTAGAAACACTGTCCCGCTGACAAAAATAGTTTATGTTGAAGGGAGGTTATCTCCTATCTTGAGGTTATCTTGAGATGATTTCGGGGCTTTAGTGTCCCCGCGGCCCGGTCCTCGACCAGGCCTCCAACCCCAGGAAGCAGCCCGTGACAGCTGACTAACACCCAGGTACCTATTTTACTGCTAGGTAACAGGGGCATAGGGTGAAAGAAACTCTGCCCATTGTTTCTCGCAGGCGCCCGGGATCGAACCCGGGACCACAGGATCACAAGTCCAGTGTGCTGTCCGCTCTGCCGACCGGCTCCCCTAAGGGAAGCGGTATATATATCAGTTAATATAATTACAATATTGTGAATAACGGTACTATTCACCGTTATTATTCATACTGTTCACCGGTACTATTCATACTGGTGATGAGTATGATTGTGATGTGTATAGTGACTTATACTGAGGTATACTGGGTATATTTCCCTAGTGTCAGTTTGAAGCAGTCTCTTGTGGCAGAGTTAATATGTTAGTGAACAAATCCACAAGGGCCGTGACGAGGGCTCGAACCTACGTCCAGGAGGATCCCAGACGCTGTCTTAACATTTAACATGTTAAACATGAATAGTTTAACATGTTAGACTCTGTTACACACAGAGTCTAACATGTTAAACTACATGTTAGACTGTGTAAACTACAGAGTCTAACATGTTAAACAGAGTCTAAACACGTTAGACATGTTGAACACTCTGACAATGTTAAACTAACATATTAACATTGGCAGTTAGTTAGTTTAACATTGCCAGTGTTAGTTTAACACTATTTGTTAAACTAACAATGTTAGTTTAACATTGTCAGAGTGTGTTGAGGAGTGAGGTACTAACGTGTGGTTATCTTGAGGTTATCTTGTCTTGAGGTTATCTTGACTTGAGGTTATCTTGACTTGAGGTTATCTTGTGTTTGATGTCTGTGTCAGGGCGTGGGCGGGGACTCCGCGGACTCTACACTGAGCGGTAGTGATGGACGTGGCGGACGGCGGCGACGACAGAGCGTTGAGGACAGAGATAAGTCCCACAAGAGGAAGTCCAATCTTAACCGGTCGGCCAACAGCGAGGAACCCGCGGCCGACGTCTTCGCCTCGCTCCGTCCCACCGACGCTAATGGTAAGTCCTCGACGCCTTTGTTTAAACCAATATCTACTCCGTTCGACCCGTAGCCTCAATTGTCACTCAGAGGTGCCAACTTATACATCTAGACAACTATCAACTACTGAAGCAGTTTCCCAGTTATGATATCACTTTTGTCTGGTGGATTGACCATTCTCAATCGACTCGAGAATGGTCCAGGACGGACCGAAACGTCGTCGTCCCTTCACCGTCTAGTGTGTGGTCTGGTTAACTTACTCTTGTCTCATTTGGAGGGTAGAATCCTCCCGCTCATCTACCTTCCCAATCTACCAAAATTCTTGATGCTTTTCGCTGGAAAGGTTTCAGTTTTCTCAATTGATCTGATCTTACATGTAAGCTTAGTCTTATTAGTCTCCTGCGGTAGATTCTTCGCTTTCTCTCTCTTCTGTAGCGTCGTTCGGGATGTCTCCTGTTCTCGGTAACTTGAGAATCGTGTGTTCCATCTTATCTTGAGGTTATCTTGAGATGATTTCGGGGCTTTAGTGTCCCCGCGGCCCGGTCCTCGACCAGGCCTCCAACCCCAGGAAGCAGCCCGTGACAGCTGACTAACACCCAGGTACCTATTTTACTGCTAGGTAACAGGGGCATAGGGTGAAAGAAACTCTGCCCATTGTTTCTCACCGGCGCCTGGGATCGAACCCGGGACCACAGGATCACAAGTCCAGCGTGCTGTCCGCTCGGCCGACCGGTTCCCATTGCCATGTATGGTGTCACTGTACCGTGTCATAGTTACTCTGTGGACAAATTCACCGTTTTAAGAGTTGAAACACTTCGCTGTCTCTATTTTCCACCCCCCTTTTTCAGAGACAACTTCTCGAAGAATTTTTTTCCATCTTAACTCTTTCCATCAGTAATTTTTATTTTCAAAATATCAGTGAATGTCAGTGAAGTTTTTTTTGGTTGACATGTTGTTAATTTCTGTTTTGTTGACATGTTAAATTCTGTTTTGTTGACATGTTAATTTCTGCTTTGTTGACATGTCGTTAACTTCTGTTTTGTTGACATGTTAAATTCTGCTTTATTCCTTTTCTCAAAAATGTGCACTTTGAGTTAACAGGTTACACTGTGGGGTAACAAGCGACCCGGGTCCGAGCCTGGGCACTATGCGCCCAGGCACTTATACACTGCCTCAGTATAAGTAGTACCGGCACTTGTCAAACCTTATTAAGTATATGCTGCGATTCTCCAGGCACAGTAGATGGAGAGTATGTGTTAAGATGCTTCCTGAGAAGTCATCTTCCCTGCCTCTAGTATCGTCTAAGATGTTTCTGTTGTGTTAGGAGCGAGTTTATCGTCTTGAAACCGCTAGTGATGTTCTTGAAGATTGGAACGCGTTTCTCAGTGTAAGTGGTGGCGGTGGTGGAGAGGCAGGCAAGGAAGAGAGGCAGTAGACCACAGCTGTTCCTCCAGGCCTCTGATTAATGCCTCGCCTCCAGCAGACGCAGCACCGGTGGTCTTAGCAGCAGACACAGCACCGGTGGTCTTAACACAGCAAAGTAGCGTCGCTAAGGAAGAGCAAGACGGGTGAGAGAAGACGACAAATTAGTGGTAATGGTAATATCAGAGTGTGTGGAACGAGCACCATTAGCGGCATCAGGTGTAATAGTCCCCCTGAAGCAGCAGCAGCAGCAGCAGCAGCAGTAGCAGCAGCAGCAGCAGCAGCAGTAGCAGCAGCAGCAGCAGCAGCAGCAACAGCAGCAACAAGGGGCTTGTGGGCTGGTATTCCAGAGTCTGGAAGCTGGAATAGCAGGGAATTGGGAACCTAAAACCTGTCATAACCAGCATACAGCTCCCACGACACCCCTTCTCTAAACCCCAAGGTTGCGTGCGTGCGTGTGCGTGTGTGTGTGCGTGCGTGGCGAGTAGGTACAGACATCACCGCCTTTCCTACACCCAACACTTGTATACTAATGCCCTCACGCGAGGCGTCTCAGGTTCTGCAGTGCCTGGATCATCAGATTTCGTGGTGTTGACCTCTCAAGCTAGGGTAGAGGGGTCGTTGTGGAGAGAGAGGGGAGAAAGAGAGAGGGTTCTGAGGGGACACACAGACTGAGGGGAGAGACAGGGTCCAGGGGAAGGGAGGACACAGGCTTTGTTTACTTTGTAGGGCTGGCCCCCCTCCCAGGGGGATGTCAGGAAGATGTCTCGCTTGAGATGGACGGGAGAGCGACGGTCTCGCTTTATGCTGGTCGGCGTTCAATCCCCGACTGTCCACAAGTGGTTGTGGACACTATTCCTTTTTCCCCCCCGTCCTATTCCAAATCCTTATCCCGACCCCTTTCCAAGTGCAATATAGTCGTAATGTTGACTATGGTCGTAACACACTCTCTCTCTCATTCTCTCTCTCTCTCTCTCTCTCTCTCTCTCTCTCTCTCTCTCTCTCTCTCTCTCTCTCTCTCTCTCTCTCTCTCTCTCTCTCTCTCTCTCTCTCTCTCTCTCTCTCTCTCTCTCTCTCTCTCTCTCTCTCTCTCTCTCTCGCTCTCTCTCTCTCTCTCTCTCTCTCTCTCTCTCTCTCTCTCTCTCTCTCTCTCTCTCTCTCTCTCTCTCTCTCTCTCTCTCTCTCTCTCTCTCTCTCAACAACACCCAGTACACACTACCACACACCACACACACCACACACCACACACCACACACCACACACACCACACCACACACCACACACCCCACACCACACAGTCAGACGCCTAGACAACCTTAGCAAGAACCCAAAACAAGAGATCTTCAAGACGACGATGGGAAGACTGGAAGATTACAACATTACAGGAGACAGAGCGCCACTGTTGCTAGACTAGGTCGCCCCGCGGGTGAATCACCATTAACGATTGGCCAGAATACTCAGTGGGGAGTTAATTAGTTATTGCTGCTGGAAGATATTGTGGTACCGCTTGCTCGCTTATGTTGCCAATTGTGCTAATGCAATGGTGATCATTAGGCCCGACTCCCTGCTTGGTTGCAGCTCCCTCCTGCTGCTGCTGCTGCTGCTGCTGCTGCTGCCTTGTTGTGGTGTTGTGGCGGTGGTGGTGGTAACTGCAGGTCTTCCTACGCAGCAGCAGCAGCAGCAGCACCAGCACCAGCAGCAGCAGCAGCAGTAACAGCAGCAGTATCAGCAGCAGGAGACTGTGGTCAAGGGCCCTTCAGGGCCAACACTGGACCATTGATTGGTAATATGAAGAATCCTTCGGCTGGCCCACGACGTCCTCTGAGGACACCCCCAGGATCCTGCCCCCCCCCCCCTGTCGCAGTGGACGGCTCAGGACTTGGATACTTGTAGCCCTCCACTCCACAGTCCTCCTCTGGGAGTGGAGGGCTCTGGGAGTGGAGAGCTCTGGGAGTGAAGGGCTCTGGGAGTAGAGGGCTCTGGGAGTGGAGGGCTCTGGGAGTGGAGGGCTCTGGGAGTAGAGGGCTCTGGGAGTGGAGGGCTCTGGGAGTGGAGGGCTCTGGGAGTAGAGGGCTCTGGGAGTGGAGGGCTCTGGGAGTGGAGGGCTCTGGGAGTAGAGGGCTCTGGGAGTGGAGGGCTCTGGGAGTGGAGGGCTCTGGGAGTGGAGGGCTCTGGGAGTGGAGGGCTCTGGGAGTGGAGGGTTCTGGGAGTGGAGGGTTCTGGGAGTGGAGGGCTCTGGGAGTGGAGGGCTCTGGGAGTGGAGGGCTCTGGGAGTGAAGGGCTCTGGGAGTGGAGGGCTCTGGGAGTGGAGAGCTCTGGGAGTGGAGGGCTCTATACTGAGTGAAAGAAAGTGGATTGGGTGTAGAGCTCGTAGTGTCCTAACAGTACTTGCCTAATTGAGTTTGCAGAGCAGAACTTCAGCTCCTGGCCTCGCCTCGTTTCCAACTGTGAGTCGTGTAAAACACAGACTCACAACACCTTGTCCTTGTCCTTGTCCTCACTTCCCTGTGTCTATAGCTACTTTAGAGGTCTGGATCATGTCCACTATATGCATTCAATGTTGGTAAGTTCAATGTCATTCTATTATGGTTGTTCAATCCGCTCAATTCGTACAGAGACGTCTGGGCGAGTTGGCTAATACCATGGGTCTAGTCTTGGACATCATTGATGAGTTGTGTCGAAATTATTGAATTTGTTGACGTTAAAGTATAGTGTGTGTGTGTGTGTGTGTGTGTGTGTGTGTGTGTGTGTGTGTGTGTGTGTGTGTGTGTGTGTGTGTGTGTGTGTGTGTGTACTCACCTAGTTGTGTCTGCAGGATCGAGCATTGTGTGTGTGTGTGTGTGTGTGTGTGTGTGTGTGTGTGTGTGTGTGTGTGTGTGTGTGTGTGTGTGTGTGTGTGTGCGTACTCACCTAGTTGTGTCTGCAGGATCGAACATTGTGTGTGTGTGTGTGTGTGTGTGTGTGTGTGTGTGTGTGTGTGTGTGTGTGTGTGTGTGTGTGTGTGTGTGTGTGTGTGTGTGCTCACCTATTTGTACTCACCTAGTTGTGTTTGCGGGGGTTGAGCTCTGGCTCTTTGGTCCCGCCTCTCAACCGTCAATCAACCGGTGTACAGGTTCCTGAGCCTATTGGGCTCTATCATATCTACACTTGAAACTGTGTATGGAGTCAGCCTCCACCACATCACTGCCTAATGCATTCCATTTGTCAACCACTCTGACACTAAAAAAAAAATCTTTCTAATATCTCTGTGGCTCATTTGGGCACTCAGTTTCCACCTGTGTCCCCCCTAGTGTGTGTGTGTGTGTGTGTGTGTGTGTGTGTGTGTGTGTGTGTGTGTGTGTGTGTGTATGTGTGGCAACAGCGCTTCAAAGCTACTACGATTTCCTGGTCCATTCACAACTTGTACCAACTCTGGGCTTTAATCTCGTCAACCACAAAGAGTTATGAATGAAGTTGTGTCGTTTCATTCACACGCTGCTGAAGGAAGTGTGTGTGCCTGCCCCCACGATGGAAGACGGGCGTCTCAAGGACTTCTTCATTCACACGTCGGGGCACAACCTGTTTCTCCCCCACCTGTTCTCAAGGGGGCGGTTCCCAG